TTTCTAGCTTTAGATTCCCTCCATGATTGCTTCCTATGTTGATTCCACTCAGACCATCAACCAATGTGCTGCCCAGAACCAAGAAAAAGAAAAACTTTCTCAATCTTTAAAGTGTGGGAGAGAACTTCATCTATCCTTGAAGAAGGAAGCTACTGATTTGGAGGTCAGGGAGCAAAAACTGCAAGCAGAATTTGCTCGGCTTCGACAAAATAAAGCCCAGCTTGACAACAAGGTGGCCAATCTGAGGAAACAAACCAAATGTGACGCACCCAAATTCAAAGCGCTTCAAGTTCAAATAGCGAAGCTGGAACAGTCGAAGAAACAACCGGAAGTGAAGCTCACCAAAACCAAGGCCTCATGGGTAGATTTAAAGGCCAAATTTGAAGATCTTTGCCAAAGTTTTAAGCAGTCTTGAACATTTTTGTTTTTATGAACAATTTGACCTTTTGGGCATATAATATGGGTTTAGAACTCTCTACTATAACTGCCTTTTATTTTAATGCATCAAATTTATTGCTTCAAAACAAACTTACAAACAAAATTGAATAAATATAATCCAAACTATTTTTACTTAGTGAAGGTTTTCTTTTCCTCCATAAGTTTGTTTTTTTTTCCTAAATGAAGGAATTTTATAGATATGAACAATATAATACATGGAGAAAAATAAGGGCATACCCTTACTATACAAACCACAGCCTTACCATAGAAAACCAAACAAAAATAATGCTAAATGAAAAAATAGAAATTACAAGACATACTGAAGGGATACCCCAAACACATCAAGAACCTTTCAAATAACACACTTAGCTAACTCCAAAGACACTTTACATCTATCATTATGAACTCTCTCATTTCTTTCTTGCCATAAGAAATATAAGCCTGCCGTAAATAGCATCCGACCCAATTTATTCTTCTTCCCTTGAAATTTTTGTTGAAAGATCATAGTGATTTCTTACACTTCAAACACTTGCTGCAAATGCCAACCAAAAATTTCTGATATGTAATACCACATAGCCCAAGTATAAGGACAACTAAAAAAAAGATGATCCAATGTTTCTACATTTTCCAAACATAGATAACATTTGGATACAACAGAAAAACCTTTTTGCTGCAAATATGAATGAGTCAGCATAGCTCTCTACATCACCAGAACTATAAGAATAGACCATCTCGGTCTCCCTCCATTCCAGCACAAATTCGCCCAGCTAACCATTGGTTTTGAAATTCTACATACCTCCTAAGCAGCTTTAAAGCTAAAATTAGAAACCCATTTAAGTTGATCTTCACCCCCAGTAATTGTGTGAGAATGAAAAACCTGAATAAGCTCTTGAGTCATATTCAATAGCAGATCAGCATTCCACTATCCCGCAGTAATGAAGTCACATAGGTTACTCTATTTGTTCCTACATAGAGAACTTAATACCCTATGATTAAACAGCTCACCTAAACACTTTCCATCATACCATGGATCCAAAAATAACTTTATATGCTGCCCATTACCAATTTTATATCTGCAATTTTCCTTGATAATATCTCTAACAGCAACCAAGCTTCGCCAAATCGATAAATCAGTATACTTCTAGACAATATTCCATAAGGATGAGTTTTTCAGATACTTCTTCTTGAACCGTGCCACCCATATTCTATCTTTTGACAGCAAAAAATCCGAGGTTAGATAACACATAGAAGCCTTATCAATTTCCAGCAATCTTCTCAGCCCCATACCCCCTTCCTCTTTAGGAGCAGCAAGCTTAATCCATTTCAAACCATGCAATTTTTTCCTATCTTCCATATGTCCCCAAATAAAATTCCTCATTCTCCTTTCAATCAAATTGACAACCACAGCAGGAAGAGTATACACAGATGTCTAATAAAGTTCCAATGGCAATATACAAGCTTTGACCAGTTCCACTTTACCAGCCATAGAGATATATAATCCATTCCATCTCGTTGTAAGGGAGACTACTTTGTCAATCAATTTGATGCAATCCCTACTGCGTACCATTTTATCTGAAATTGGCAGACCAAGATAGGTAAATGGAAATTTCCCAACCTTGCATCCCAGAGCTCTAACAATAGTGGATCTTCTTTTGACAGAATTAGTTAAAAACACTTCTGATTTCTCCTTGCTAACTGCTAATCCTGAAGTATTTTCAAACTTAAGTAAAAGTTTCTTCAAAGTTAATACAGTTGCCATGTTAGCTTTCACAACTATAAGCAAGTCATCCGCAAAAAATTGATGAGTCAAAGGAATACCAGCTTGCACTACAGCTTCAGTAGGAAAAACCTTGCCACTTATCACCTCAGCTTCCATCATCCCTGAAAAATACTCTGTGACAAGAGTAAAAAGCAAAGGAGACAATGGACAAACTTGCCTTAACCCTCTCTCAGGTATGAAGTAACCATATAGAGAGCCATTAATAATGACAGAAAACCAAACTGATGAAATACACATATGAATCCAACTGATCCATTTATTTCCAAAGCCAAACAGCTTCAACAAATTTAACAAAAAGGACCACTGTACAGTGTTGTAAGCCTTCCTTAAATCAATCTTCCATGCTAACCTAGGCTTAGCCCTTTTAGCACCAAAACCTCTTAGTAGCTCATGTGCCATTATGATGTTATCCTGAATTCTTCTTTGTTGAATGAAGGCATTCTGCTCTTTACCTATAATTCTCCCCAGAACACCAGCCAATCTAGCAGATAAGATCTTTGCAATGACCTTATAAAATGCGTTACACAATGATATAGGCCTAAAATCACCCACTTTTAAAGCCTCAGTTTTCTTTTGAATCAAAGTTATAAAAGTGTTATTAATACCTCTCCCCATCTCCATATGTTCAAAGAAATGAATAATAGCCTCTGAAAATTGTTCACCCACGATGCTCCAATATTTCTAAAAGAACCTTGCACTAAACCCATCTGGACCAGGAGCTCGATCAGGACCCATGGAGAACATTGTACTTTTCACCTCTTCCCTTAAAATAGTAGCTTCTAGCCTATTCACTTCCTCAGTAACTAAAGTATTCCTGATGTATTTAGCTTCTGAACCACAGGAAGCAGGTTTAATATTAGCATAAGCAGACTGGAAATAGTCAACAAACTTTCCTTTAATTCTATTTGGATCAGTAATCACCTCACCCTCATCATGTATAACTGTGACATTATTATTATTACTGTGTTGTTTGATTTCCTGAAAAAAGTACTTAGAACACCTGTCTTGATCCTTCATCCATCGAATTCTAGATTTCTAAGCAAGAACAACAGATTCATTTAAAATCACAGCCTCCAAATTCCTCCTCCCATCCTCCTCTATCTTAATGATATCTTCATTCATAGGATCAGTATACAACATTTGCTGAGTAACTACATGAGAATTCCTACAACTAATAACCTTTTCATACACAGAACCAAATTTCTCAGAATTCCATTTCTTCACTGCCTACTTAACCATTTTTAACTTGTATAATAGTTGCTTAATTGGATCCCCAGTAGTCCTAACTTTCCACACATCAGCAATCAAATCCTTGACAACTGGTTGTTGACTCCACACAGACAAAAATCTAAATGGCTTTGGACCACCAGCTATCTCTACTGATAAATTCAAAAATAACCCCCAATGATCAGATGTCAATGGAGGAGTTAAAGTAATTTGAGAGTTAGGAAAAGCCTGTTCCCAATCTTCATTCATCAACCCTCTATCCAATCTAAGCATAGATTCTTCTATTGCTAAATCTTTTATTACATCAAGTATATACCCCATTTGTCACTGGGATATCAGCTAAACATAAATTATCAATGATGTTATTGAAGTCATCAAATACTCTAGAGGGATGATATTTACCTCCTAATTTCTCATAATTAAATCGAACAATGTTCCAGTCCCCAATCAATAGCCATGGACCATTAATATGATGAGCACTCTCCACTAAGTCCTTCCATAATAACAGCCTTTCAGTTGCTGTATTCTTAGCATACACAAAAGTAACATAAAATCTGCTGTTGGAACCTCTAATATCCATATGTAACAATATCATTTGTGCCTTGATCTCAATAACAGTAATACAAACCTTCATTGGATCCCAGCCACACCAAATACAACCCCCTGAAATAGCACTATAATTATTCACCCACTTCCAGTTTCTTCTTAACTTTGTTGTTAATTTCTGAAATTTAGCACTCTGAACTATAGTTTCCACTAGCCCACACAAAAATATAGAGGATTCACTCAACCAGGATTTCACTTCTTTCTGCATAACTTTCCTGTTAAGAACTCTAACATTCCATAGACCAATCATCAAATAATTGATTTTGGTGGAACAACCCACTTACTACCATCCCTCTGGTAATTCTCACCACTTGAGGATCAATCTCGACTTCCTTCTTCTTATTCTTCTTTTTCACTTTTTTTGAAGATGAAGATGTTACCCCTCCAGGAGAAATTGTTTTGCCTTCCATAACTTGACCTCCATCACCAATAATATCTCTCTCTTGAGTTTCCTTTACCACTTCCTGAGAGTTTTCCCCATTAATACACTGATCCAAGTTTCATTTCTTTAATGGTGAAGAAAAGGAACTCTCAATATCATTACACTGAATCTCTGAGTGAGCATTACTAACCCCCTTTACCATGACCTCATCTCTTTCAGTACTTTCCTTCAGCACCCGAAACGCATTAATAGAAACAACCTAATTCTCCTTCTAAGTTTGAACTTGTCCCACCTTTGACTTACCTTTCGATTTCCTTTGCACTGTAAATCCTTCCAGGTCTTCATCATTGTCATTTGATTTAACTGGTTGAACCCTTACCACCTCTAAATCCTTATTCTCGTTGACCACTAGCTTAATCTTTACACCCATTTTTCCTTCAGCTTAGGTTTAACCTTGTTAAGTGGACACATCGATTCATTATGATCCATTTTCTTGCAAAATTTACTCACTTGAGGCTTCCATTCATATTCTACCTTCACCTTACAAGGTAATCCATGTAATCTAGTCTATATGATTTTTGGAAATACACCATCAACCTCCATCTCCGCCAAGACACGAACATACAATCCTTTATCACGGCTTTGTATAATATCCTCCATATATATCGGTTTTGCAATATTTGATACAACCTTTGAAATAGAAACCCCACTACGTGCATGCATTGGCAACTCGCACACTTTCATCCAAATTGGAACCGTTTCCAATATATCCCTTTCCAGTTGAATACTTTTATGTCATTTCTTTACAATGATTGCCCGCCCTTGAAACTTATGAAATCTCGCTAAAACACATAACAGATCCTCCTCTGAAGGGAACCGAACCTGAAAAAACCCCTCCTTTATTGATACCACTACAGCATCCTTATGCCATCTCTTCTGAACATATGATTTAAAATAAGGAAAATAGGGTTTGCTTCTAAGTACATAGCATACAACTGAATTCTTCCAATATTCCCATTCTTCAAAGATATCTTCATCCTCAATGATCATAACATCCTTCCTATGAATTTCACTATAATACGTCAATGGAGTGAATCCCATCGAAGTAGAGTTGATTAACAATGATCTCCAAGTAAGACGATTGACAATGGGAAGGTTAATCACGGGAGAAACACTACCCGCCATAGAGGAGGGTTGCCCCTCCTCCATCGTTTTTGCTGTAAGCCAACAAAACCCTAGTAAACCCTAATCGCCTCAGTAGAGAGAACAAGGGTAAAAAAGTTAAATTCAATTTGAATTGCTTTATTGGAGGGTTTTTCCTTTTCCTCCATAAGTTCAAAAATAGTTGGCTTATATTTTTTAAGGTACCTTCCATTTATTGGTCTCTTATGGATTCCACCATCTAAATCTTTTAACATGTACGCTCCTCCATGCAATACTTGATGAACCAAATATGGACCCTTCCAAGTAGGTGACCACTTGCCATAAACTCTATCCACCTTTCCAGGTGGAAGAATTGTCTGCCAAACCATATCACCCTCTGCAAATGACTTGAACTTCACCATTTTATTATAAGCCTTCATTACCTTTGCTTTATGGACCATAAGGTGGTCTAAAGCAAGTTTCTGAACCTCATCTAGGTCTTCTAACTCGGCAAGCATAGCTTCATTGTAATCGGCAGGTATCAGATTGTGTTGTAGAGCTACCCTTGCCGATTTCACATTTAACTCCATCGGCAACACAACATCATGGCCAAATGTTAGCCGATAAGGAGTTGTTCCTATACTTGTTCGCTTCGAATTTCTGTAGGCCCACAACACTTCTGAAAGGGTTTCATACCAACACCTTGGCTTATCTTTTATCATCTTCTCAATAATTTCAATAGCAACTTTATTTGAAGCCTCTGCTTGGCTATTCCCTTGAGCATAATAGGGTGTTGAAGTTACCATTTTCACTTGTATATCAATGCCGAGTTGTAATACTTCATTCGCTCGAAACACAGATCCATTATCGGCAACAATTGTTTCTGGTAAGCCAAACCGGTGAAAGATATTTCGCTCCAAAAACTATATAACGGTATTATGAGTTACCAATACATATTCCTCGGCTTCTACCCATTTGGTAAAGTAATTGGTAGCTAAAATAATCCAATGATGACCCTTTGATGAAGGAGGATTAATTTTGCCGATTAGATCCATGGCCCAACCTCTGAAAGGCCATGGTTTAACTAGTAATTGCATCTCTATTGCTGAAACCCACTGCATTAGACCATGCTTTTGACAGTCTATACAACCTTTTGCATAGGTCATACAATCTTTTCTCATTCCAGGCCAATAATATCCATATCGGCGTATCAACCATCTCATTTTGATGCCGGCTTAATGAGCTCCACATATTCCTTCATGTAATTTCCCAACTATATTAGCAATAAATCTCCTAAGATAATTCACCTGCCCTAGTAACCTCTGTAACTATTTCTTGCTTCTCGGCACACCAACGTCAATAATCGCCTTAGCTTTATTCCAATCAATCTCTATTCCCCTTTGATGAACTAAGAAACCCAAAAAGTTTCCTACCGATACTCCAAAGGCACACTTTATTGGATTCATTTTTAACTTATGAGCCCTCATCCTCTCAAAAGATGCTTTGAGATAAACCAATACTCCTTTTTTGTTATTGATTTCACCACTACATCATCAATATACACCTCTATAAACTTGCCAAGCATATCATGAAAAACAGAATTCATGGCTCGCTAATATGTCGCCCCAGCATTCTTCAACCCAAAAGGCATTACCACCCATTCAAAAGTTCCAATCGATTCGGTTCACCTAAAAGCTATTTTTGGAATATCCTCCTCGACTATATAAATCTAATTATAGCCTGAGTGTCCATCCATAAAAGACATAATTTGGTGCTTTGCAGCTGCATCAATCAGTTGATCAGCTATCGGCATTAGATACTCATCTTTTGGTGTTGCCAGGTTTATGTTTCAAAAATCAACACATATACATAATTTTCCATTCTTCTTGATAACCGGGACTACATTTGATAACAATTCAACATACCTTGTAGTTCGAATGAAGCCAACATCCAACAATCATTCGATTTCCACTTTGACTTTATCTACCACCTCTTGAGACATTCGACGAGGTGGCTGTTTATATGGCTTGTATCCATCTTTAATGGGCAGCCAATGTTCTACCAAATCTCTGGATAAACCCACCATTTCCTCATAATTCCAAGCAAGACAATCACTGTATTGTTTCAACATACCGGCAACCTCGGCTTGTAATTCTGGTTCTAACAGTGCATTGATATAAGTTGGTCTAGGCTCTGTATCATTGCCTAAATTCACCTCCTTTAATGGATCTTGAGTTTCTGCTTTAAGATCGTTGAGCTTAGCTTGTGCCAATTCTAAGTCTTCCAACTGAATTGCATCCAACTTTTCATTATTGAACCAATCGATCTCAGTAAGATTAACCGATGGTCCTGGCTCTATTATTGCTTCTTTTTCTAGCCGTTTCTCGGCTATGTATGCTTGTAGCCTAATGCAAGCGGCCCTAAAGGACTACTGCCGAGCAGCTTCTCTTTCAAATTTCGCTTCCATCAACAACTTCTTCAATTATAGCGAGCCAATGGAGTTCTACCTTCAGCCTAGAATTCTCCTGCTGCAACTTGCCGATTTCACGATCGGCAAAACTTCTTCTCATGGTTGCCGAGGTTGTTCTTCCATCGGCTCCTGTTCCCACAAATCGAATAGGAACACATTCTTCGTTATACAAAATAGCATCTGCCGAGTACACTTTTGCCATAAATGGCTTATCATCAGCATTTACTATTTTCACCTTATCTCCATCCTAAAAAATCGACATCTGGTGTAATGATGATGGGATGCACATATTTAGATGAATCCAGTCATGGCCTAATAAAAAATTATATGAAGCCGTGAATTCAATAATAAAAAATGCCGCAAAAGATGTCCTACCTCCAACTTCTACTTCTAAAGGAAGGATCCCTTTAGTGCTAGTAGAACCTCCGTTGAAACCATAAATTGCTACATCAGTAGGAATAACATCTTCCATACTCTTGCCGAGTTTCTTTAATGTGTTTGCTGGAATAACATTCAAAAGTGAGCCATTGTCTACCAAGACTCGATTAATGGTTAACCTTCTACCTATACCTTAACATACAAAGGCCTGAGTTGTTGAGTCATTGCTAACAAAGGTTTTTCAAAAACCACTTTCTCTACCGATTCTAAAGAAAGGATTGATAGATTTTGAATCGACTGAATACTTCTTTCTTCTTTCCATCCATCTTCTATTTCCTTCTTATTTTCTGTACTTGCAGTTGATGACGATGGGGCCTGAAACATTGCTGGTAAAACAAATGCCATATTACACAACATTTCATCTGGGAAAGTACCAAATTGAATTCTGAACTCATTTTTGTGTCTGGGCTATGTCGGCTGATGCTCCTCTTCCTCATCTGGTTGGTTAGCAAACTCTTCTTTGCTTACTTCATCAATTTTCCTTTTTTCCTCGGCCCTTCTCCTTTGTTCCCTGCATTTCTAAGATCGAGTAAGGCCTTCATTCTAATATTGTTGAACTTTAGGGAATTTTGGGTGATTGACTTGAGTCCATCTATCCTCCGCTGAATTTGTTTTGGGTTTTACAGTCCACACCTTATATAAATCGGCTCCCCTTTGTACCCAAATTTCTGATTGAACTGGTGATCGCCTTTTAAAACTATGATACCGATTTTGTGGACGAAATCGGCTAGATATATTTCCTTACTGATTCTGCTTGTCCGCCTTCACATGACTGCTACTAGAATTATCTTGCCAAAGTTGTTCACCAGGCTTAATTGGGAATGTAAGCCTCTCAAGAATTCCTTTCTGCTTTATTTGAACCTCCATTGTCTCTTTTTCTTTAGGCTTCTGCTTTCCCTTGAAATTTGGGCAACAACCCTGGTCTATCAAGGCCAACTGGTCCTCTTTTAACTATTTCTGTAGCTCTGCCATCTTTTCAAGAGTTACTTTTGATGAAAGGAACTCATTTGATGCCTTTTCAGCCTCCTGCCGATTTTCTCGCTTGGATAAGCTTATCACATTAGTAGACATGATCATAGGGAATGGATTGGTATCCACCTTCATGGTCTCTGAAGTTTTATCTGGGAACTTCAAAGTACCTTCATCGATAGCTTTCTGCAATACACCTCGTAGAACAATACAATCATTAGTAGCATGGTTCCAAGAGTTATGATACTTACAATACTTTTTTCCTTTCAAGTCACTTGCCGATGGAATCTTATGCCCTTTAGGCAAAGATATCATTTTATCGGCCATTAAGTGATGAAAGATTTGATCTATTTTCGACAAGTCGAACGAATAACTCTTCCCAGTATCAGCAGGACCTTTCCTTGCTGCCGATGTTGATGATGATGATGCATTGCCCCCCGTTGTCGGTTTAGGTTTAACCAATGCCTCACAAATGTATGGCATTTTGATATTGACTTTTGCAACGTCAATTTCTAATTTATCTCCAACTTCTGCCGAGAATACCTCATAATTAGGGTCCTTGTACCAAGTACCCTTAGAAGAATTCTTCCTTTCTTTCTCTTCTTTTAGTATTTCCTCATACCGAGAAGCCCTATCTGCTAAATTGAAGAGATCTTGAAACTCAACCCCATGAAACCTCTTGCGATGTTCAATGTCTAGACCATTCATTGCCAATTTAATGTATTCTGGTTCTGGCAAACTTACTCAGCATTTGAGTTTAGCCTTTCTGAACCTAGCAATAAAATTTTCTACCAATTCACTCGGCAACTGAGTTAAATGGGATATATTTGCTAGCGTAGCTTCTGTCTTTGTTCGGTAGAATTGAGTATGAAAAGCCTCTTCCATTTCGTCCCATGTCTGAATAGAATTGGCTGGTAAATTGCTATACCATTCAAATATTGCCCCAGCGAGAGAGCTAGAAAATAACCTCATCCTTAACCAAGGACTAAGGCCTGCTTCACCACATTGTGCTGTGAACCTCGCAATGTGCTACACCGTAGAAAAATGTTCTTCACCACTATACATAAAAAACTCAGGATACCGATAATTTCTAGGTAACTCATGGGCATCGACATGATTGGGATAAGACTTTCTGTATACCAGCCTAGCACGTCTGTGTCCCTGTGCTACCTCAGCCTATATTAAAGCCAGAATTTGAGCCCTATCGATCCCTACATTTTATCCCGAAGGATCATTTAGGTGTAACAGAACGAATGGATTAACCCCATTCTCTTTGTTAATTAGCATTACCTTGCCCCCCAGCAGCCGCCGGAGGTACCAATAGATTAGCCCTGCCTTGGTGGTTTTCAACCACCTCCTACTGATCTCTCACCACTGGAATCGGCTGCACTGGTGGACATTGCTCATTCTGATTATGTTGATTAATCAACGGTGGTTGATACATCGGTACTACTATTACTACCGGTGGATCTGACAATGTTGGTGGGTTACCAATCGGCATGCCAATAGTAGGATTCGGCACATTACCAATCGTGATACCCAATGGTTGAATCGGCATCATGCTAATTGGCATTCCGAGAGTTGGATTTTGCAGCATTACTTCTGTCATTGTTGTCCTTAGTTCTTCAGGGATAATCACCTTTGATGAAAAAATTTGCCGAACCAATGACTCATGCACATTTGAGGCTTCGGCCTGATCAGATCGGCTTTGAACCACCGATAGTTGATTTGATACTGCATCCATTTTTTGATTCATCCCATCCATGCAAGCAGTAACCTTTTGACTCATCCCATCCATGCGAGCATTAACTGTTTGGCTGGACTTCTTCCTCTTCTTCTTCATTTGAGTTTGTATTCTTTGTGTTCCTCTTGGGAGGCATCATTGTTGTAAATAAATAAATTCACCTAGTGGGTCCCACCGGGTGTGCC